TCAGAGAAGGCAGAGAAGTTCTGCAAAAGCCCAGCCTCTCATCGGCAATCCTTTTGCCACAACAGGCACTGTTGCTATTACCATGCCCAGTTACCTTACACAGGATCTCTGGCTCATATTTAGACCAGCTACCTTTACCTAGGTTTGAACCTGCTCACCAAGCTCTACAATTTATTGATTTACTTTATTGACTTAGGAGATTTTTTAAAATCTTTCCTGAGTCTTGCTTAAGGCGACTAATAAAATAATAAATTTTCAATATAAAAACAAAAACAAGCCACAGACATACAAGTAGCATAAAAATATATGAAAGATACAACCCCTCTCCCCTTCTAAAGACACCACAATTTTACTTTTTTTTGGGGGGGGGCTCATAAATCACATCTTCTCCCTTAGACACACACACATTTGGCCCCCATCTGACAGCCCCTTCACTTTCCAAGCCACCATCCCTTCTGGCCTATGACTGGGGACAGAATCTTTCCCCGAGGCATTTTTGCTGCCTTCAAAACCACTAGCGTTTTGTGTGCTGCAGAGCTCCTGTCTGGCACATGATATGTGTCTCTGCTTTTCTCCTTTTGAACTACTTGTCCAGCCACCTGACCTCTCCATCAGTTTTGGACTGCTTTGCACTTCAGAATCAATCTAAACAGCTATAAACTTCTCTGCCTCTCTCTCTCCATTCTGTTCTTCTCCCCTTTCCCCTGACCAAGTATGATAATTTGCTCCTTAGAAGGCACTGGATAATAATAGGAACTTGGTATTTTTTATGGCTTAGATCTGCTTAATTCTCCTGCCCTGACATTATATAATTCACCTGAATAAACCTCTTTTCTGACTTCATCCTATCTGAGTCTCAGTATTCCTTCCAAACTCATAATGGCACTGCTCTACTTTGTCATAAATATATATTTTTTTACTGGCGTGTAGATCATCTTAGTACGTCAAGGCTGATTTCGCACTAGAGCTGCCTCACTGTTGTGCTGCCGTTTGCCCCAGTTCTATTGGTCAATTTCACACCCGAAGCCACGCGGCTGATTTTGACCTGCGACTTCGCCCGATTTCCTCTGCAGTTTCATTGATCCTCAAAAAACAGGTTCACGAAACTGCGGGGGAAATCAGGTGAAGCCGCGGGTCAAAATCAGCCACGCAGCTTCAGGTGTGAAATTGACCAATAGAACTGGGGCAAACGGCGGCGCAACAGCGATGCAGCTCTAGTGTGAAATCAGCACAAGTGTTTATTCATTTTGGCCAGTATTAAAATCAAAGCAGCTTTCTAGGCAAAAATCAAGGAGCTGTGGAAGGAAGATTGCTTTCCTGCATTGGGGTATTTCGGTATGGGTGCGGGCTCCAATTGGAAAGTAGACATAATCATACAGAAACATCCTCAGGGTAGATGTATTCTGACTATGTGATAAAAACCAGCATTTTAAAATGATCATGCAGACTATTTGACAAGGTCAACTCCTAGTCCGGAATTCCTTACTCCAGGCTGAATAAAGAATACAAATCTGCAAAATCTGTTCCTCAAAATAAGTGTTGCCCCTCAGATCATGTACTCCAACTATGAGGATACTGTCTCCCTTGAGGTACTCAAGCGTTGTGTCTGGCTTTTGTTTTTGCTCATGTCACTCTCTGAGGTGATGCCTTCACCAATCATTGCCAATGAATAGAGGAGCTCTGCCCCAAAGTAAGCTTTTGGAAACCCATATCATATATCTTGGTCCTGCATTGGGCAGGGGGTTGGACTAGATGGTCTGTATGGCCCTTTCCAACTCTATGATCTTCATGTGAAAGACATCTTCCAGTTCTACCTTCCAGGTGTCACAGCCAATCCCTGATCCCCTGGGGTGTATGTAAATTCCTAGAGCTTACAGCAAATGAGAGGCTATGGATCATCTTGGGGGGGGGGTTAAAAGAGGAAGAACCAAGTCATCAGTTAGGGCTCAGAGAGGTAAGGATAGGACAGGGATAGCACTACATATCTTGTGTTAGGCAGGTTAGTCTATCTTATGGAGGCAGTAGGTTACGGATGGGTAAGAGAATAAAGGGAGAATCTTGAGACACCAGCTAACCTTATCTTCAGGGTCTGAGTCAAGGGGTGACCAGATTGGGGAAGTGCAGGGACTAAACAGATAAGATCCATGCTTCCAGTACTGCTATCATCAGGAGAAACATCCTGTTAGTTCTGTAACCCTGGCCATGGATGTGGCATGGTAAAAATTCTTAAGGAGAACTACAGCCCAGTTTAACCGTGACAACTGTTATTTGGCTTGTCAACCAAAAACAGCTGTTTTATCTTCCACGGAAGAGACAATAAGCTCATTATTGTGTTGTTAAAATAAGTGTCTGTGTGAGTGAAAAATAACAAAAAAGGAGATATAATTCATCCCCTGCAAGCTGGGCTGCCATCCATAGGTCCACACGGTAACTTCAGCAAGTTATTCAGGCTTCTTAATATCTGTGTTTAACTTTATTGATCACTCGTCGACACACATCTATTGCACACTACCCTCCGCTAGGCAACCACTGAAAGTTGTGATGGGTGGAGAGGTTGGTACAGAAGCCTTCCCACCACACCCTAGCACTAGGAGACTGTTCTGTTACATCATTCTTAAGAGTAATTTGTGCAAGAAAAAAGTTTTTTTTACCAGAAACAATGCTAGGGCATCCTCTGCCTCTCAATAGCAAAACTGGATAATTTGATATGGCCCAAAACTTACTGCACGGAGCAGACGTGTGCAAAATTCAGTTCTTTATTCAGACTGGTTATGTACCTCTTTGTTGAATAAGGTACTGGGAACCAATGTTCCCTCTAAGCTGTGGAGTCCTGTGAGCAAAAATTCTGCTTTGTGAGTTACTGGCTTTAAAGTTGTGAGCCAGCAATTTGGCTACTGCATAAATCAGTTGAGCTCCTGTCTGGCACATGATATGTGTCTCTGCTTTTCTCCTTTTGAACTACTTGTCCAGCCACCTGACCTCTCCATCAGTTTTGGACTGCTTTGCACTTCAGAATCAATCTAAACAGCTATAAACTTCTCTGCCTCTCTCTCTCTCCATTCTGCTCTTCTCCCCTGAACTGAAAGTTGTGATGGGTAGAGAGGTTGATACAGCCTAGCACTAGAAGACTGTTCTGTTACACCATTCTTAAGAGGAATTTGTGCAAGAACAAAGTTTTTTTTACCAGAAACAATGCTAGGGCATCCTCTGCCTCTCAATAGCAAAACTGGATAATTTGATATGGCCCAAAACTGACTGCACGGAGCAGACGTGTGCAAAATTCAGTTCTTTATTCAGACTGGTTATGTACCTCTTTGTTGAATAAGGTACTGGGAACCAATTTCACTATGTTGGTTTTACATGGTAAAAAGCTATTGGCATGTTTATATTAGAGGATATTATACAAAAAGGGCAAGACAGTATCTTTCACTCGGACAGTTTTTGCTGCCCAGAGACACAGCTTTTGAGTCTAGCTTTGACCCTTTTTTGTTAGCATTCTGACAGAAGGTCCAGTTAGGTAAACTGAATGTCAGAGCATGTCACGGCTTCCTTCGGTGTCTCTGGGTTTCCCTGATACAGCCTATTACCTGTAAATGAAAGCATATAAAGATATGCCAAATATATTTCCTTCAAAGAGTTTAACATTTCCTGGAAATGGAGAAAACTTACCCATATACCATTAGCTTGCTTTCTCCGACACAGGAAGCTTGATGACCACTTCCTGCTGCAAGGTCCTTTAAGTTAGCTAGTCTGGTGTAGTGGTTAGACTGATAAGGTTATGGAGACCTGGGATCAAATCCCCAGCTCACAACATAACTGAGCCAGTTACACTGCAAGGGTTGTTGCAAGGATGAAACTAGGGAAGGGAGACTCATGTATGTTGATCTGAGCTCCTCAGAGTAAGTGAGGGACACATTGTAACAACACTTAGATAGACTCACCTCAACCTCTTTCTCAGTGAGTGGAGGACAGCTGCAACAAAAAGAGAAACACAATTACAGAAACAAAACCTGGCAGCCTCTGAAGGTCAGCAAGATTCAACATACTCAATGTGTATCTAACCCAGGGATGCAGCAAATGCGCCTGAGTTTTCAATGCAATTTGTTCAAGAGCATGAGCAGCATTCTTGAACAACACCCAGCTATTTGTTTTAACCTGACTGCTTAAAATGGTTATAAATTGCGCTTCAACTGTTCTGCACATGCACACATATGCATTGCTCTGAAGTGTTTTTAGCCTAAAGAGTATACTAAAAACAGGGCTCATTTCCTGCAGGAGTGCACAAGAGTGAAGCTCCGGCAGTAAGGAGCCCAGGGGGCAGACACATGCAACAAGCCCTGCCCCCTGCTCCCAGCAGCCCCCCCTCACCTTTCCCGGCCTGCTGGCTGACCCGGCAGAGCACTGCCACGAGCTGGCCCTTGAGCTGCTCTGTCACTGCCTGGGTCGTGGCACCCAGCCTGCCCACGCTCTACCCGTCCTTATGCCGGCCCTGGTGCGGCGCCTCTGCAAGGCCTCCCGCAAGGCCTGCTAGGAGCTCCGCCCCGGCCTCCTGCGCCTCCTCGGCCTCCTCCTGCACCTCTGCCCTGGCACTGCCCTGGCCCCCTACCTACTTGAGGCCATGGGTGTCCTCCGCGCTGCCCTCCCCAACCCACAAGCAGCCACGCACTTTCCTGCACTTGCTGGCCATCCAAAAGAGTCCAGTGGCATCTTTAAGACCAAAGTTTATTCAGGTACAAGCTCTCCCTCCTCTCTGAGGGCAGATCTCCCGTCCCCCCCCCACCATAGCTAGCAATCCAAAAGAGTCCAGTAGCACCTTTAAGACCAAGGCTGATTCAGGTACAAGCTCTCCCTCCTCTGTGAGGGCAGATCTGTGTGTCATCCCCATAGCTAGCAATGCAAAAGAGTCCAGTGGCCCCTTTAATGAGGGCAGATCTGCCCGTTCCCCCCCAATAGCTAGCAAACCAAAAGAGTCCAGTGGCACCTTTAAGACCAAGGTTTATTCACGTACAAGCTCTCCCTCCCCTCTGAGGGCAGATCTGTGTGCTTCCCCCCCATAGATAGCAATCCAAAACAGTCCAGTTGAGCCTGAGCAGTGAGTGTTGCCTTCTGACACATTTCTGGTGATGTCAGGGGGTGTGGCATATGTAAATAAGTTATGCTAATTAGTTATGCTAATGAGCTTCTGCACCTCTTTTTCTACGAAATTACCTTTGACTAAAAATATATACAAACCACATACAATAAATGTTCTATTTTGCTTGTCAATATATCTAATTCTCAACATGTCCATGTCTGTAGATACTTAAATTTGGAGATTGGGGCCATGGAGAGACAAGAAAGATCTTTCTACAAACTTGAAAAAAGCCCCAAATTTGCAGAAAAAAGACCTGGAAAACAAACAAACAACCCAATATTTGGGGGGTTAATTCCCTCCAAAACGATAGAAACAGTACCTGTAGTTTTAAGAAACAAATACCCTCAGTGGCCACTGGAAGGCAAGCAGGAGAATGTTCCACCAGGTGGGGGGCAGGGCAAAAAAAGCCCTGGCCCTGGTCGAAGCTAAGCAGACATCCTTTGGGCTGTAGACAACCAGCAGATGTTGGTCAGCAGAGCACAAGGCTCTCCGAGGGACACATGGGGAGAGATGGTCCCTTAGATATGTCGGTGCCAGGCCGCATAGGGCTTTAAAGATTAATACCATTACCCTGAAAAGGATCCAGTACTCAATTGGTAACCAGGGCAATTGGCATAGCACCTGCTCAATGCATGCCCACACAGACATCGCAGTCAGCAGGCATATCGCTGCATTTTGGACTAGCTGGAGATTTCGGATCAGATTCAAGGGTAACCCCACGTAAAGTGAGTTACAGTAATCTAACCTGGAAGTGACCATTGCATGGTTCACTGTAGCTAAGTCCCAGGAGGAGAGGCAAGGAACCAGTTGCCTGATCTGCCAAACATACAAGGCAGACCTGGCAACAGTGGTGACCTGGGCCTCCATAGACACTGCTGCATCCAGGATCACACTTAGGCTTCTCACCCTTGGTGCCAGCACCAAAGGTGACCTGTCCAGGGTCAGAAGCTTGATTCCTGAGCCTTCCCCCAACTCAGGCACAGGACCTCTGTCTTTGTTGAATTAAGTTTCAGCCAGCTCTGCTGTAACCACCCAGCTACAGCCTCCAAAGCCTTGTCGAGATTATCTGGGGCAGACTCCGAGCGGCCATCCATCAACAGATAGAGCTGAGTGTTCTCAGCATACTGGTGACAACCCAGTCCAAACCTCCATACCAACTGGGCAAGGTGGCACATGTAGATGTTGAACAACATTGGTGAGAGGATCACCCGCTGTGGCACTCTACAGTCCAGTGGGTACCACAGGGAGACTGTCTCACCAAGCACCACCCTCTGTCCCCGACCATGGAGAAAGGAGGAAAACAATTGTAAGTCCCCCCTTATTCCTACGTCGGCAAGGTGGTGGGTCAGTAGACCATGTCAAACACTACCAAACACTACTGTTAGGTCAAGAAGCAACAGCAGTGCTGACCTACCCCAATCCAAGTGTCTCCGAAGGTCATCTGTGCGGGCGACCAGTGCCATCTCCGTCCTGTGGCCAGGGCAGAAACCAGACTGGAATGGGTCCAGGATGGATGTCTCATCCAGGAAAGCCCAAAGCTGCTCAGCCACCACCCTCTCAACTACCTTGCCCAGGAATGGCAAGTTCAAAACTGGGCGGTAGTTGGCTAGGACTGTGGGGTCCAGTGACAGTGTTTGTAAGTGCCGGCATACCACAGCCTCCTTCAATCCCACTATGAAAGTCTCCAACAAAAGGGACAAGTTGATAATCTCTTCCAGTGGGGCCCAGACACCATCCACGCAAGCCTTGACCAGCCAGGGTGGGCATGGGTCAAGGAGGCAAGTGATAGGCATTCACCAACATTTTCAGGTTAGGCTGAAAGTATTTGACTGGCCCCAAAACACCCAGTGAGCTTCCACAGCAAGATGGGGATTCGAACCAAGATCTCCCAGACCCCTTCTCAGAAGCTCTAACCTGCTATATCACACTGGCTTTGATCGGGTGGCTGCTGTTGAAGATAAGCAAGCAGCCAGGCCTAGATGTGTCACGCAGATCAGGTGGTATCAAGTTACCCAGTTATTGCTGTCAGGCCTGACCCTGATGCATCTTTCCTCAAAGGCCCTAACCCCTCCCATGCCTTTTACTCACAGAAAATAAGCCTTGGAATGCTGTGGTTACCTAGCAACAGCCACTGAAGTACTCCACTGGTTAAAGCTACAGGCACTAATTTTTTCTGCAAACCTGGGGTATTGTTCAGGTTTGTAGAATATCTGTCTTGCCTGTTCACAGCTCTAACCACCCGATTTATATATCTTCAGTTTGGCTGGCTTTGCTATTAGTATATAGATGATTAGCCTCCCAAGACCTGTAGTACTATTTGTTTAATGTTAATTTATTGTTTCAGCACTGCGCTATGTAAACATTACAAAAGCTCTTTCATTTCCTGTATTGCTGTGAAAGTTAACAAGCTTCTAGAAAAGTAGGCAAGTCTGAAATACTTCAACTATTGTTACAACTCCACACAAAACCATAATAAAGTGAACAGGAAATATAACTTCCTTAATTCGGCCACAGAGACTTCACCAAATGTACTGTCAGGATGCAAGGTCATTTATGTTCAGATTCAGTTGACTTTTTTTCCTCTTAAAGATGTTTTCTTAACAGCCCAAAATTTAAAAACACATTAAGCAACAGTGGACAGATAACTATAGCTAGAACTATATACGTTCCAGTTATGAAAAAAGGACAATTTTTTTCTATATGTTGATGCAGTCATGAGATCAGAAGCACTTTGTCATCTCCATTTAATGGAACAGAATCATCATACATTTTCAGGTATCAGTACAAGTATTATTATAAAGGGATATCACCTTTCCGGAAGAGATGTATGCACACGGAGTTTTCGTAAGAGTGCATCAGGAATATTGGGCATGACATCACAGCTATTCTCTGCACCCTCCTCATCCTCCTCCTCCTCGTCTTCCTCAAAAAAGGATGGTGAAGACCCTGAAGATTTTACAATGTTTTTGTTATTAAGACTTTTAGGAAACAATACTGCACTGATGACCACTAAGCAGTTAAATATGTTAAACACATTGCTAAATGTTCCGTACTATTCCAACATGGAGGGGGAGGTGAAGAGAAGAAGCCTTTCCCAGCTGCATAAGAAACCAGTGGTGAACAAAACAAATCTGAAAATTCCAATCATATATTTATGCTTGATGGTAAAATTCAATGGCCAGGTCACAGTCACCAAGCATTCCATTACCTTGTGATTAATAAAATGGAAATTTAGTTTTAGTGACTTCAAAAAGAATATGATGCCATACTGTATTTATGGTGTCTATATATTAGGCACTTTACAGATATCTATTACCTATGTGCAGGGCTCTTTTTGTAGAAAAAGTCCAGCAGGAACGCATTAGTATAATAGATCACATCCAACAGCAGAAACTCATTAGCATCTTAGGCCACACCCCTGATAGCACCACTCATTAGCATATTAGGCCACACCCCCATGTTACCAGAAGTGTGGTCATCCAGCCACACCCGCCTTTTGCTTCTTATTCTGTTTACCCTGTTTGTTGTCAAAACCCTGGGCTTTTTTTGTAACAGGAACACCTTTGCATGTTAGGCCACACACCCCTAACGTAGCCAATCCTAATGAGTTCCTGCTGTTGGGTGTGGCCTATTATGCTAATATGTTCCTGCTGGGCGTGGCCAACTCGGGAGCCAGACGAAATCCGTTCCTGTGCGTTCCTGCCTATGTGCATATTTGATTAAAATAAAACCTCAGTGAAAATGTAATTAGGATCAACAACTGCCCATACACGTGCTTCTCTGCATGTGGCCCCCACCTTGTGGAATGGCCTGCCTAAGGAGGTCAGGAAGGCTCCCCCTCTCCTGGCTTTCTGTGAACTATGCAAAACTGAACAAAATTTGAGTCCAGCGGCACTTTTAATACCAGCAAAGTTTTATTCTGGGTATAAGCTTTCGCGTGCATGTACATTTCTTCAGAAGTTCTACAACCCAAATCCTATTTCATTATTTATTGAATGTCTTATCCTGTTGCTTGTATTGACTCACTCTATGTCATGAGCTTTGAGTCCCAGTGAGAAAGGGAGACTATAAATAATGTAGACAAAATGATTTCAGTTACGGTTTCCATTGGTCTAGTTAAAGTAAGAGCAATATCATCTGCATATAAACACTTGCTTCCCAAATGCAACTCCTTTTTAAACATTCCTAATGGCTATTGCCAGAAGTTCTACTGTTAAGGCAAAGAGAAGTGGAGATAGTGGACATGCATAGAGAGAAAAGTTATCTGAAATTTCACCATTAATAAGTGAGATCCATCTTTTGAAAGTAGCCCTAAGATAAAAACTTCCAGGACCTCAAATAGATAACCATGACCCCGGTTACAGAGGGGGGAAAAGCACGGCCAAAGCGCGGCTTTTCTGAGCTGCAGCAAAATAGACGCGCGGCAGCAGGATCAGACAGATTCCTTGAGCCGCCGCGCAGTTGCTCCCCGGCACAATCAGCCATGGAACGGAGAGCGAGGCAGCCGGCTGCACATGTGTGCGCATGCGCAGTTTGGCCAGGAGCCTCGAATGCTGCAGAAGACGGGCGTGCTGGCGATCCCACGGCCGCCCTTGCTGCGGAGCTTCAGGTAGGTAGTACTCTTTTCTAGGTTTTTTTTTAATACACGGTTTTGCCCGAAAAGGATGGATTGGGGACGTGTGAGCTCTGCTTCCCAGATGTTGTGGTGTGATCGCGCCCATTTGATGCGCCCCCGATCCGTCCCTCTTGTGGGGAAAAACCTCCCGTGTGACCGGGGCCCATGTTATCCTATCAAAAGTTTTCTCAGCATCAAGAAGTATCAACATTGTTTCTTCCAGGGTATTATTAGCCTTATGCATGGCATTAAGAATTCTTTTGACATTAGATGACATATGCCATTCTGATCAAAACCTTTGTTTGTTATTACAGAAGACCAAATTTTGAACTCTGTATTCAGTAAAGAAATAGGACAATAAGAACTTAGCTGAGAGGAGTCTTTCCCTGAGAGGGGGCCATTTCAGCCATTTATTACACAGTACACATGTGTGAATAACAGTGTACTGAGGCTGCTAGGGCTGCCAACCTCCAGGTGGGGTCTGGAGATCTCCCAGAATTATAACTTATCTCTAGTACAGAGATCAGTTCCCCTGGAGAAAATGGCTGCTTTGGAGGGTGGAATCTATGGCATTATACTCTGCTGAGGTCCCTCCCTCTCCAGACCCTGCCTCTCCCCATACTCTACCCCCAGATCTCCAGGGATATCCAAACCCAGATTTGGCGATGCTAACCAATGCTCATACATGAAAACGTCACCTATGAAATAGCCCTTATGGGGTTTTTTAGCATAAAGCGTCCCTTAAAAGAGTTTTCATTAGTAGAACAGACAATATCTATAAATATATTTTCCATAGATTTTTATTATGTTTCACCTCTTTCCTGTTCCGCAGTTTCACTGAGGTCAGGGAGTTTAAGTCCTACCAAATTTTGATTCCGCATCAATATGTGCTCCTGATGGGAAAAAACAGAATTATTTCTTAGTTCATCAGAAACAGCTGTCCTCAACGTTAATTTGTATAAATTAATACAAGCTCACTGTAAATATGTATTATATTGAATAACTGACTGCAATAAAGGACTTCGGTAACAAAAGTATCATTAACTATGAAAAACTAATACTTCTGGTACTGTTAACAATCTGAGTTTCGATGCAAAAAAAAGAAAGTTGAATTCAATTTTAGTGGAGAACGGGGGGGGGGGGGAACCTGGATTAAAAAGAAGGTTGGATTGAATTTAATCGCAGAATTGCTTGGAGGATTAAAAGGAGAGCGCAGAAAGGGCCAATGAATGACAGCCAATAATCTCTGTTAACTTGTACTCATTTTCAACCATTCATTTACCCATCAAATATCAATTAGTACAATTCACTAGCTTATCTAGGACTCGGTCACACTGGGGAAAAAGGCACAGTTAAAGTGCGGCTTTTTTGAGCCTCATCAAAAGAGAAGCGCGGCGGCGGGATCAGACAGATCCCCCCAGCCGCCGCGCAGGTCCTCCCCAGCATGATCAGATGCCAGGAGGAAGCCTCGGACCGGAGAGCAAGGCAAGCCCACTGCGCATTTGTGTGCATGCGCAGTTCGGCAGGACCTCGCATGCTGCGGGAGAGACGGGCACGCCAGTGATCAGACGGCTGTCCCTGCAGTGGATTTTCTGGTAAGTTATTTTATTTATAATTTCAATTTATAGCCCTCCCTCCCCGCAACGCAGGCTCAGGGCGGTTCACAGGTAGGCATAAGCCAACACATAAAACAGTTAAGTACTAGTGTTTTCTAGGGGTTTTTTTTGATCCGCATCTTCGGCCGGAAGAGACAGATCGGGGACGGGTGCGCACCGCTTCCCAGATGTTGCGGTGTGATCACACCCGCTTGATGCGCCCCCAATCCGTCCCTCTTGCAGATCAAAGCCTCCCGTGTGACCGGGGCCTAGGTACCTCTAACTAACCCATTCCACTCCAGCTCTAGTATATTTACATAAGAAAGGCCAAAATAGATGCTGGGGCACAAAATCCATGGACCGCAAAGAAATTCTGAAATCACCAGAATGTAGCAATGGAAAATGTGAGAAGTAGGTAGGGTTTTTGTTCCCCATACCTGAGAACTCTTTTTAAAAAAGGCCTCCCACCTTACAATTTCAGACATGGATAGGTGGAATGTGGATGTCCCCCATCACACTAGTGTAGGGTTGCCAGGTCTGGGTTGGAAAATACCTGGAGACTTTGAGGGTGGATCCAGGAGAGGGCGGGGTTTGGGGAGGGGAGGGGCCTCAGCATGATACAATGCCATAGAGCCCCCCCTTCAAAGCAGCCATTTTCTCCAGGGGAGCTGATCTCTGTCAGCTGGAGATCAGTTGTAAAAGCGGGGGATCCCCAGGCCCCACCTGGAGGCTGGCAACCCTACACTAGTGCAAAGCCTTCTCATTCATTCCTTAGAGGCCTGTACTGAGTAGGGGTGTATAATATTTCTTCCAGGAAACCATCTTCCTTTGTTACATCCATTACTAAATGCATGTTTTCTTTCTGAGGTCTTTTCTGCATTTGCCTGCCACTCCACGTTTTCTAATTTCTGAGGTCTTTTCTGCATTTGCCTGCCACGCCACGTTTTCTTATTAGTGTTTGAGTCGAGGCAATTTAAGTCCACAGCAAAACAGCATCCAACTAACCCGGGGCAACAACAGGGTGAAACCGGGCTGAATGCAGAATGGGGGAAAAACCTGGAATAAAAAGAAGGTTGAACTCGATTTTAGTGCAGAACTGCTTCGAGGACAGTGCAGTGAACATGGATTAAAAGGAGAGTGCAGAAAGGGCCATATATGCCCCTTCCTCTGTCTACCAAGTATTGCACAGCTGAGTGATGAGGATGGAGCCACTTGCTGCTGCCGGACCACTGAAGTGGGGGCAGGGCTGGTACAGATAGGAAGAGACTCTCTCTTCCCTTTCCTGATGCCCTGCCTGACAACACAGCTGGTTTCCCATCTGTTTGGAATTCCATGGGTTTACAGGAAGCTGCATTTAGGTAGTGGCTTTTCTCTCTCCCACAGCAAAGATTTGTCTTCTCCCAACTCCATTTGGTTCCTACTAGTCAGCCAACTACTAATGCTGGATCAGGGACAGGAAAAACTGCTTCTCTTGTACTAGCGCTAGCATGACACAAAGGCAGGCTCTACACTTTGTTTAGCCAGGTCCTGTCTGACATTTTCTGCCATCTTTTTGTATACAGATCATTCGGCATATAACAATTACCCAGTAATTGCAAGCAATGTTCCCTCTAAGCTGTGGAGTCTTGTGAGCAAAAATTCTACTTTGTGAGCCACTGGCATTAAAGTTGTGAGCGAGCAATCTGGCTACTGTATAAATTAGTTTGCTCTGGAGCCCTCCTTCCTGAGCTAAGACAAAAAAGTGTGAGCCGGAGGTTAAAAAACTGTGAGCTGGCTCACACTAACTCAGCTTAGAGGGAACAATTTGCAAGATAATTCCTGAGGTATGGATGTGTCCTGCCTTGGGAAAGCAGTACTAGGAGGAGCAAGAAACAGGACACAAAAGTGCTTGAACAGCAGAAACAAACAAAAATGTTTAAGATAAGATTTCTT